GCCCATTACGCTCGAAAATAACTACGGCAAGTTGAGAGAGATTAACTGAGACGGTACTGAACAGTAGATGGCAGTACTATGCCTGAGAAGCGTTTAGTCTGCCTGAAACCAAAGAAGAAGAAGAAGCAGGTATACTGCGCCTCAGTAACAAGAAAGGTGAACAAGGCGGCAGGCGTGAGTGACTTTGCAAACTGTTTGGCACTGTGTGGCCAAACATCAGACGAATGGAGGATCATGCCTACTCTGTATCACAACGAAAAGCGGCGGGCACCGAACCCCCGTCATCTAAGAAGCGGAAACACGACGAGAATAAACGCAAGCGTGACAAGAAACGACAAAAAACACGGATCAACATTGGCACGGCATTTACACGATGGAAGTCACTGATGGAGGAAAAAGGTTTTCAAAGTGACGCTCAAGTTGCCAGTTTTCTCTTGGACAGGTAATTAATCCTACACACACAATTGTCTAATATCACTACAGTTTTTGGAGTACAGAATGCTCAGACCTGTCTAAAACAATAACATGCTGCGTGATGATGCTGTTACTCTCCAGTATACTTATTCAGCAACGTCCCTGACGTTTCACAGGTAATGATTCAGTAATTTTCTGTAAAATAATTTTCTGGATATATACCTCGGTTACTTCTCTCCGGCTCCTTTGGAGATCTTCAAGCCTTTCTTCCTCTGCTCTCACCCCGCTGGCTCCCCTCCCTCGCCTGGCCCTAGCTGCACGCCCACCCCGGCCTCTCTGCCCTCGCCCTCTTCCTCGCCTTGTAACCCCCGTGCCACAAACAAGACTTGGACTCTGTAAACGGGGAATATATATTCTTCCAGCGAACACAATCTTGCTGTTAAACTAATGACTACAATTCCTTCGTCTGTTTATATCACCATGCAAAGCAGCTCACCAAAACGTCACAACGATGTAGAAAAAATAACGGGTATATTTATTATCTAAAGTCTACATGAAATCTATACCCTACACAGACTAATGAAATACTATCTGTAAAATTATCTATGTAAACAAACCTCATCACTTGAGAAGGTAGGTGATTCCGACGTCGTGGAAGACATTTTGTCCCCTAACGCTTGCCGTACTGTTGGGGGGGAGAAGCGGTGGGGGGGAGACGTTCATTTTGCTGCAGTCTGCAGTCTGGACGTTAGATGTCGCTGAAAATTACACACTGTAGCTTTAAGGGTGAAATGAAAGATCAATAGTAAACTATTCAGGATGGTCTTATGGTCATCCTGTTTCTTGGTCTGTTTTCTGAGTTTACAGTGTGTTATCGCCATCTAACTGGTCATTTTTGTTAACGGCTGGGCTGGCATTTTGTATCGGTTCCTTTTCCTGCTGTGTTCTCTTTTGGCCATTAGTCTAATACCATCCTGTCCTCCTTTTTGAAATTGAAGGGAGCTGATATTCGGAGATTCCTGGAGGAAGCCACCATTCTGGATCCCAGATTTAAATACAAAATTAAAAGTGATGAAGTCTGGGACAGGATCAGGGAAGCTGCAATTAAAGGGAATACAGTGGAAGCAACAGATGAGGTATTTTATTAATTTCTGTTTCAATTCTGTTTGTCTTTTGATTGCATTTGATTCCATTGTGATTGAGACCTTCTACGGCTCTGTGTGTTAAAAGTTATTGATGTGTTTTAAACACAATGTTTACATCACTTATCAAGCTCCCTGAAGAAGGCTGCAAAGATGGGGAGGAGGAAGAAGAAGAAGAAGAAGAAGAAGAAGAGGATGACTATGTAAGTTGGCTCATTTATTTGTAATGACCTTTGGATGCTGTTTTGTCATATATTTTATTTGTTATTTAACATCATGCTCATTTAAATTTAGGCACTGCCACCACCATCAAAAAAGACAGCCTTGGAAGAACTGTTCGATGAGGATGAAGACGAGCTGCGGTCACTTTGTGAAACAAAGCCTGGTCTTTCCTTAGCCCAGAGGGTAGATCAGGAAATACAGCTCTATAAAGGCTTGCCCTCCATCCCCTGCAGGGATAGCGCCACACTTTGGTGGTGGAACAAGGAAGATACGCTGCCCTTGCTGTCTGGACTGGCTGAAAAATACCTCTGTGTTCAGGCTTCCTCCACCCCATCTGAGAGGGTGTTCTCCACGGCTGGAAACACCTTAAGTGCGGAAAGATCCCGTATCCTTCCAGAAAAGGCAGATATGCTAATCTTTCTGCAAAAGAACTGTTAATTTTCCCTACTACTAAGTTATTACGTTTGTTCTTGTTCATTTTTCATTTAATAGCAGATGTTACTCAAGTTTCACATTTCCTGTGGACATCTTTATCTTGTTGAGTTTGTAAGATTGTGCAATAGTTAAGTAAACAAAGTTGATGCTGATAATCAAACTGTTTGTTCTCCTTTTTTCCCCAAATTGGAATCGAAAAAAGAATCGATAAAGAATCGAATCGTTTCATAGAATCGAAAAGGGAATCGGAATCGTGAAAATCTTTTCAATTCCCAACCCTAGTGTAGATTGACCCTGAGGTTCTAGCGTCTATCCACTTTCGGCCAACCTCAGTGTACGATGGTTATTGATCAATGAAAAAACTGAAAAAAAATCTGTTTATGGTGAACAAAGTAACTTAGACCATGATATAAAGGGGGAGGAGCTGGGTAACACTGTAGCTAGGTGTACTCACTAGCTAACAGGTTAGCCTCTTTTAGCTCGGTCACTTAGCCATATTAAGCTTCACTACTTTAAACTTTTTGTCATCACCAACCGTTGGTTTTTCTACAATTAGAATAACTGTTGTTTTCTTTGTCTAAAATCTCTAAAGAAAGTCCTTCTTAATAAATAAATATAGCTGCAAGGCAAAGAAAGGATAGAGTAGCTCTGCCCAACGCGCGTCAGACCCACTTTTTCACAGCGCAGCCAGAGCAGCAAAGCTGCTTCAGCCGTGCGTCAGAACTAAACTGGTTCAAGCAGCAAAAAGGAAGCAGCAGACGCGATTTTGCTGTTCCTGCTGCATTCGGTGTGAATCCAGCTTATGACTTTTGTGTCATTTAGAGCTGTTCTGAAGATATTCGGTTTTGTTATATCCAAGTAACGTCTTCCTATGGGCAAGGACTTGAAGTCACAAACTAAACTGTTCATAATTTACTCGTAATGGTACGGCGGTCGCTATTCACCGCGTCATCAGTAGCTACTGGAGGAGAGACGACACACAGCAGCGCTCATTAATATTAACCAGCAGCTACTTCAGGTTTTATTTCGAATAAAAAAGTAGTAGATGAGATGGTTTAAAAAATAAGATGCCGCCGAAAGAGTCGTCAGACATACGGAGCTTTTTCAACAACAAAAAAGCGAGTGTAAGTAGCCTTGAAAATCAGTATTGTAATGCCATAAGTTTGACAAAAGCAGGTGTTTAAAGATTATGTTCTCTTTCAACATTCGTTTCGGTATCTCACTATGGGACACGCCCCCAGCGCTGTCTCCAGAAGCACTATAACATTATGCCAGTCCTGACTGGCTCACAGAAGTGACGTCTGCTACTGGGGAAGGGCTTATCTCCAGTATAAGAAGTTGACGTCACGCAGGTGATCCTCAGTCTAAAACCTCTTCTCGCTCCCAGAAGCTTACTCGGATGGCTAACACAGCAAGTATTGAGCTAGCTTAACTGTTCACAGAGCAAGCTAACAACTCGGTTGACGAACGCTACTCAGTACAGTATTCGGGTGTTCCGAGTTCCCTTTCCACTGCTGGCCTGCCACCAAACAGCAGCAGCGGCAACTAGTCACCAAACTAGCTGCTTTCTAATTTTCGGAGCTTACAAGGCAGCTTGAACTTGTTCTCACCATGGACAAGAGCAAGCCACCTGCTAGAGCTTGCACATGCGGCAAACTTATAGCTGGGCAGACACCCAACCTGTCTGCATTTCGTGCCTGGGGCTGCAACATGCCCGGGACAGAGTAACGTCGCCAGCTAGCTGTGAGCACTGTGCTCGGCTCTCCCTCAAATCCCGTTGGTGCAGGCTAGCGCGCCAAGCTAGCCTGTCGGAGGTGGACCCTGCGATGGAGGTAGCCAACCCTCCACCACCAGTGCTCACTGTCACCGAAGAGGGAGAGCCCCTATTCACCGGACCCAGTTGGGCGGACCAGCTCGACGCTGTGGCCCCACTAACTGACCCGGAGGAAGATGAGGCTGCCCTTCCGGATTTTTGCGACCCTGTGGGCGCAGAATCCGACTCGGAGGTGGAATCCGTTAGCCTCGGGTCTGACGACTACGAGCAGGACTGCAGGCCTTACATCATCCCACCGGCTGCAAAGCCAGTGGAGGCGGGTGACACTTGCAGCAGCTCCCCAAACCCGTCTGCAATGGACCTGCACGAGGTCTGTAGAAGAGCGGCTGCAAAGCTAGGCATTGAATGGCCTGAGACCTTCACGGAGACCACCACATCCCGGTATGAAGGGGAAAAGGCTCCCCAAGGCCAAATCTTCCACCAGGCAGCTCCTGCCGGTTTTTCCGGAGTGCATTGAAGAAGCGACCTGGTCCTGGTCCAACCCTCTCACCGCTAAGAACCCCGTCCTGGGAGGGTCAGCGCTGGATTGGATTGGGATGGAGGACAACGGCTTCTCACATTTACCTCCTGTGGAACCGCTGCTTGCTTCTCACCTGCACCCATCACAGAAACCTGCAGTTGCAGCAGCAGGACCTGCTTTCCCTTTCAAAGCGGATTCCTTTCAATCTGCTCTAAATGGTAAGAGCTACAAAGCGGTGGCTGCATTGGTGAAGGCGCTCCTTCTCGCTTACCAAGCAGAGCTACAGCAGCAGATGACGGGGGCACTGAGCGAAAGTCTGTGGGAAGAAGTGTGCGTGGTGACAGACCTATGCCTTCGCCTCCACAGAAGCGCTGTCCAGGCCTCTGGAAGAGCCATGGCCCTGATGGTCACCCAAGAGAGGGCCAGGTGGCTCAACCTGTCCAGCCTGTCACAGAGAGAAAAACCATCTCCTCGACACACCGGTGGACCCAAAGGGATTGTTCGGTCCTACCGTTGCTGCCATGCAAAAGCGCTGTGAGGAGAAAAAGAGAGAAGGCGAAAGCTCAAGCTCTGCCTGCCCAGAAGAGCGCAGCCTCCTCCGGCAGCGGCTCGTCCGGCTTACCGCATTCCAAAGCGAACACCCCAGTCTCAGTCAGCTGACCGCGACCGTGGAAAGCACATCGAGCCTAAAGGATCGTGGGAAAGGAAACCCTTCGTTCCGCCGGCTTCACCGGACAACCACACTGCCCCTCCCGTCACAACGAGCGCAAAGAAAAAGAGGCGCTAGGGAGCTGGCTTTGGGGTCGAGGAGCAGGCACTGCCAGACGCCTGCAACCTCACCCAGAAATGTTCTGTTCCAGTTAAGGAAGCCTTGTTCAGGACTACTGAAAAGGCCTGCAGAGCCAGAGTTGGAGCTCACAGTTCAGAGCCGGTTGAAGAGGAGGAAGGTGACCCACCCGGAGAGCTCATTGGAGCCACAGTGGTTCACAAGCACACACCAGTGCCCAAACACTCATTTTCCCCCCTTCAGAAAATGTTTAATAAAAAGATATCCTGGCGCACAACCAGGCCAAGACCCGAGGGTGCAGCCACAACCAAAAAATATGGGAAACATAATAAAAATAACACAGGAACATAACGCAACCATGCGGCTGCACATGAGGCCACAAGGTGGAGCCCTCGCTCCACGTTTGGCACAACCGGCCGCTATCTCTGCAAAAGAGGAAGCGGATTCAGGGCAGCCGCGGATGAACACCACAGCTGTGCTGCAGCTCCCTCAGCTAGTACTAGGGGTGTAAATAATAATCGTTTTGTATCGATGCATCGATCCAAAAGCCGACGATCCGATGCATCGACACGTCCGCAAGATAATCGATTAATGTTTTTTTTTCCCCCTCCGGTCTATTTTTATCCATTTGCTCCTGGGCGTAATTCTCCCTCCCGTGCTGCGGTGCCGCTAAACCTATTTTCCCCTCCTACCGCGCTTCCTGGTTATACTCTTACAGCAGTTTGTTGCAGCAAGCTTCACACAGACATTTTTAAATTATGCTCAGTATTGAAGCGTGGTCTGGGCTACACGCTGTGGGTCTAGATACGGCCGAGGCGATGAGGAAGTGGGGGCGAGTTTAGTCCGACGACGGAGGGACAATGGGGCAAAAAGAGCGGAGATTCAGCTGGAAAAAGGCTCCCAGCGTTCTCGCGCACCTCGCTCTTCTAGCGGGTCAAACTTCACGAGTTGTTTTCCGCAATTTCGGTCATAAAAACAAAACTAGCCGGCCTCCTGTCTGGTGCACTGTTTGCGGTCAGCTACAATCTGGGAGAGGTGCAGCGGAGCGTCTCTCAAGGGGCAGTGACGTCAACACTCTGGAGCCTTCTTCTTCTTCTTTTTTTAATGGCGGTTGGCAAACAACTTATAGGTGCATTACCGCCACCTTCCAGAATGGAGTATGGACCAGACAAACTATTATATTCTCCCTAAAATACCCGTTCTTCTTAGAAAATTAAAAATACCCCCAAAAACTACATCCCCAGATGACCTTTGAAACAATTCCCTTATATCTAGTTTATTTTTATTCCTGTCTAACTCTCTACACAACATCTCTCTTTCCTGAATATATTTATTACATTCTAAAAAAATATGTTGGACAGTTTCTCTGGAGCCGAGGTATTGCATTGAACTCATTACACTGATATTGTGCAGTATTTTTGCAGTATTTTTTGATGCAACTTTTCTACTTCTGTTATTTGCTGTTGTTTCTAAAGAAAATGCATAATGATATTACAGCTTTCATTGATTTATTTCAAACTTGAAACTTTGTTTAGCCTGTAAGGTCTAAAAAAAAAAAATAATAATAATAAAAAAAAAATTAACCGATTAATCGAATCGAATCGAATCGTGGTGTATTCTTAAGTATCGAAAATAATCGAATCGTTGGGTCAGGAAATCGATACTGAATCGAATCGCCATGATGGATGAGATTTACACCCCTAGCTAGTACTGCCCAGAGCTCGGTCAGGAACACAGCTTGGCCCACTAGCGGGAAAAAGCCAGCTGTGGCGAGCGTGCGGGGCATTGGACTGGGTAATAAAGACTGTGTCCAGAGGATACAGGCTCCAGTTTGCCGCAGCCCCACCCCGTTTCAGGGGCATAGTACAATCTCATGCTCGGGGGGAACACGCACACATCTTGCAGGAGGAGATAATTTCCCTGCAGAACAAAAACGCAATCCGGCTGCTTTCCCAGGAGGAAAGCGGGGAGGGATTTTACTCCAGGTACTTCCTCGTCCCGAAAAAGGACAGGGGCCTGCGACCTATATAGGATCTGCGAGCTCTGAACACATATCTGAGAAAGTATACGTTCAGGATGCTGACCCATGCAGCTCTGATACGGTTTGTGCGCCGCGGAGACTGGTTTATCTCCGTCGATTTAAAAGACGCGTACTTTCACATCCCTATATACCCTCCTCACAGAAAATATCTCAGGTTTGCATTTCAGGGAAAGATGTACAAGTATCTCGTACTTCCCTTTGGCCTGTCGCTCAGCCCAAGGGTGTTTGTAAAATGCACCGAGGCTGCAGTCGCTCCTCTGAGGGAGAAAGGCGTACGCCTGGCAACTTATATAGACGACTGGCTGATTGCAGCTCAGTCCCCAGCGGAGCTCATGACACACGCAGAGATCTTTACGTCTCATCTGGCGGCTCTAGGTTTCTCGATAAATCGGGAAAGGAGCATTTTAACCCCAGTGAAAACAATCACTTTTATTGGCCTGTCCCTGAACTCCAACGAGTTTAGAGCGCGCCTTTCGGCGGAAAGAGAGGAAGCCTTTCGGGCTTGTCTGACACTCTTTCGCAGAGGCGCTCACGTAAAACTCAGGCTCTGCCACAGACTGTTGGGTCTGATGGCGTCAGCGCTGGCCGTCATCCAGTTAGGCCGTTTGCATATGCGTCCTTTTCAACGCTGGGTTGCGTCCCTTCGGCTGAACCCGGTCCGACACTTTCACCGCAAGGTTATAATTTCTCCAACATGCGCACAAGCTTTGAGCCCGTGGAAAAGCCCCACATTTCTCAATACCGGGGTTACCATGGGAACCATCCAAACAGGAAAGTTATCACCACAGATACCTTGTTGACAGGCTGGGGTGCCACGCACGAGGGCAGGATGCTGAATGGCACATGGAGCTCTCTGACACAGACAGCTCACATAAATTGTCTGGAGCTTCTGGCCGTGATGCTGGCACTAAGACATTTTCTGCCCTTCATCAGAGGGCACCATGTTTTAGTGAGGACAGACAATACAACGGTGGTCACTTACATCAACAGACAGGGTGGTCTGCGCTCTCGTCAGTTACACACGCTGGCACACAGACTGATAGTCTGGACCAGCTCACGCCTGCTGTCACTGAGAGCGATTTATGTACCAGGAGTCATGAACAGGGACGCAGACTTACTATCAAAGGGCAATCCCCGCTACATGGAGTGGAAACTCCACAGCGAGGTTGTAGCTCAAATTTGGGATAGATATGGCCGTGCGGAGGTCGACCTCTTTGCATCAGAGGAGAATGCTCACTGTCCAAGGTTTTTCTCCCTGACCGGAGAAGGTGCTCCCCTGGGACTGGATGCACTGGCGCACAAGTGGCCACAGGCTCTACTGTATGCTTTTCCCCCACTGGAGCTCATTACCCCCACACTCACCAGAGTACGGGCGGGGAAACATGTACTCATTCTGATAGCCCCCCGTTGGGCGGGGTGACACTGACTAGCAGAGATCTTCCAGTCACTGTACGGCGAGCCATGGCGGCTTCCTCTTCGCATGGATCTGCTGACGCAGGCTCGTGGAGAGATATTTCATCCTCATCCAGAACGTATGGCTCTTTGGGCCTGGCCTGTGAGAAGGTGAATCTGACTGCCAATGGGCTCCCTCTGAACGTCATTAAAACTATTCAGAGTGCAAAAGCTGTTTCCACAAACAGTGCATATGAGGGTAAATGGCATGCATTTGAAAGCTGGTGCACAAAAACCATGGTGAGCGCCATGCAGAGCCCTGTGTCACTCATCCTGACATTCCTGCAGGAGCTGCTGGATAAAGGCTAGGCATTTTCCACTGTGAAGGTGTACCTTGCCGCTATCTCAGCTTGCCATATTGGTTTTGGTGACAAAACAGTAGGGCAGCGCCCACTGGTGTGCGAGTTTATGAAGGGTGCCCGACGACTCCGCCCAGTGTCAAGGAGCTTAACCCCCTCATGGGACCAACCGGTGGTACTTGAGGCCCTATCAGGTGCACCGTTCGAACCGTTGCATCAGGCTGAGCTTAAAATACTGTCGTTTAAGACGGCTCTGTTAATCGCTCTGGTCTCTGCTAAGCGTGTGAGCAACCTCCATGCGCTTTCAGTGAACCTGTCCTGTATGCAGTTCTTCAGTGGGGACTCTAAGGTGGTACTGAAACCTAACCCTGCGTTTATACCAAAGGTTATTAACTCCGCTCTACCATGCCACCCTCTTGAGTTGGTGGCTTTCTACCCTCCACCCTTTCCCTCTCAGGAGCATGAGCGACTCCACTCGCTCTGCCCAGTACGAGCTCTGAGGCTGTATGTGGAGAAAACAGCTGGTTTCTGCAAATCGGATCAGCTGTTTATATCATGGTCCCCGCCACATAAAGGGAAGCCCCTCACTAAACAACGTCTCTCACATTGGATAGTAGGGGCTATTATCATGGCCTATGACACTGCATGAAAAGTGAGATTTTCGTCCCCGTAAACCCCCGTAAACTCCCGCAGATCTGCCTGATTTTCGTCAGTTTCCGACAATTTGCAATCCGTGCTTGTCCGCGTTTGTCGTGCCACAAATTGTCGGAAACGGACTCTGACGTATGTGGAGAGCGATCAGCTGTACTAATGGCCCTAATTAGCATATGAATGCAGCAAACCCTGAGAAGGTTATTCAAGCCAGGTCTGGCTTGAATAACCTTCTCAGTATTGGCTGAAACCACTATTCTCAAACAAATGAAATCGCTCGTGATTGGCAGCAAAACCACACGTGGCCACGCCAGGCTTTAATTTTCTTACTGAGTATTGGACGGAACCACTTCTTTTTAAACAAGTAAAGTCGCTCGTGATTGGTTGGCATATATATATATTTACATATAAATTTACATATATATATTTATTCATATATATATATATTTATTCATTCATATATTTATTCATTCATATGGTGTGTATTTATGTTATCCTACACTACTACACAATTATTATGCTACCATCAAGGACATGAATGAATTTATACAGGAAATGAACATTTGCCAGGAAGCTGTTTATGCAAAGAAAGAGCTTTATTAAAACACACACAACTATATACAACGCGTATCCAAACACATGCGTTTCTAAAAATAAAAGTCAGTGAACGGTCCGTTTGCTTCCTCGGGGTTGGAGGTAACAGGCAGCATTCCCTCCGAGGCAGGTCCGATGTGCAGACGCCTACTGTGCGTGGCCCTGTACTTCGGCATCGCTTCTAACCGGGACTGCAGCTTAACACAGAGTTCAGTGAGATCCGGCCTACGAAATGGCGGCGACCGTACAATCCATCCAGAGACACCGCCGAGGAAGGCGGACTTCCAGAGTTCCACTTCCTCATCTGCTAGCACACTCTGCCTCGCTTTCAGCAGCTGAAAAAAAAAACAATGAATCAGCGCACTGCGTATGGACACAACACATCTATTAATGCACCTGTAAAATAGTCACCAAATAAAGTCTTACCCTCTTTCTTCTGGCCCGACCTTGAGCAGATTGCCTCAGCACGCAGCGTGTTGGCTGGCTGCGTATATCTGAAGCTCCTGCGTACCGTCTCAAAATACGTCTTACAGGCAGCTGGAAAACAATTAAATGAGAGTGGTATAAATAAAAAATCAAACGCAAGTCACAGTAACAAGGAAGGAGAAAACATTAAAACAAGTCACTTACACACAATGTGGTCTTTATCAACATCGTGCAAATCTGACTTGCTGATATGACTCCGAGCAAATAGGAGGTCTGTGAAAACAAAATGTACAGCTATGATCGGTATCCATTTCCTTTTACCGCAGAATGAAAGCATATTCTTTAAATCTTACCCTTGCTCCGGTTCATAGCGCCTGCAATTAGTCTCCGAGTTGTGAAGACGGCGTACTGCTTCCTGTAAATCACAAAAAATGCACTTTAATAAAGCTTGTTCTTGCAAGGCTACTATTAGCCGCTATTAGCCGTAGCTTAGCTAGGCTGCTTTTAGCTTAGCAGGCAGTAATCGAACATATATTTACCGCTAGCATCTCTTCTTTGAGTTCGTCTTGTTCGATGCAGAGAGGAGTTTTACCCCGAAATCCCCCATTCTCCGCTCCAGACCGCCTGCACAAAGCAAAGCATACTGTGGATCCAGCCGCGCCGCTCTGAGTTTCTTGGAGATCGTACAGAGCATGCGCGAGATGAACCAGGGTGTCCGCGGATCAATAAGAATAATTAAAAAATCATTCTTTTTTTTTTTTTTAAATAAAGGCCTAACTAAAATTATTTAAATATGTTTATCAAAGTATTTATAATTCTTTAATAAAAAATGCTTATAAAAACAATTTCGTCAGATATATTATATCGCTCCAGGCGGAGAAAAAGCTAGAGGATATATATATACGTATATATGTGTGTGTGTGTGTGTGTGTGTGTGTGTGTTTACATACATACAGGAGTCATGGAACTGTGCTTGCAGCTCCTTCATACACTATATTGCCAAAAGTATTTGCTCACCTGCCTTGACTCACATATGAGCTTAAGTGACATCCCGTTCCTAATCCATAGGGTTCAATATGACGTCGGTCCACCCTTTGCAGCTAGAACAGCTTCAACTCTTCTGGGAAGGCTGTCCACAAGGTTTAGGAGTGTGTTTATGGGAATTTTTGACCATTCTTCCAGAAGCGCATTTGTGAGGTCGCACACTGATGTTGGACGAGAAGGCCTGGCTCTCAGTCTCCCCTCTAATTCATCCCAAAGGTGTTCTATCGGGTTGAGGTCAGGACTCTGTGCAGGCCAGTCAAGTTCATCCACACCAGACTCTGTCATCCATGTCTTTATGGACCTTGCTTTGTGCACTGGTGCACAGTCATGTTGGAAGAGGAAGGGGCCAGCTCCAAACTGTTCCCACAAAGTTGGGAGCATGGAATTGTCCAAAATGTCTTGGTATGCTGAAGCATTCAGAGTTCCTTTCACTGGAACTAAGGGGCCAAGCCCAGCTCCTGAAAAACAACCCCACACCATAATCCCCCCTCCACCAAACTTTACACTTGGCACAATGCAGTCAGACAAGTA